AATAAAGACGCAGACATTCGTCTATGTTATGACTTATATTATGGCCATTCACAAAGAAGAAACAAAATATTGTGTTCGTGGGGGCGCCATTCATAAATAGGCCAACTAATTTTTCATTTGCCGTTGAGGTGTTAAATAGGCGGATTAAATTGAACTGGATTTCAAAATTGTAAGTCATTGACCCACTTAAATATTATTTCAGAGAAGTGGATTGTGATGAAATAAGCTAAAAATCGAGACATGGTCAATCTAGGGTACGTATTGGTCCATTGTAAAATGAGTTGAACTAAACGGATCAAAATGAGCCAAATTAATAGAATGAGAGGGTTATTAACACTACCATTTTATTGTCTGATTTTGCCACCTTTACCTCTTTCATTCCCGATGCTTATTTTATAGTGTTAAAGGTATTTGATTAGACACAAAATTGAAATTTTGAGTTTATAAAGTTTAAATTTTTAACAAGGTAACTTACCAGGTTTTGATTAAATTGTTTGGGTACCTGATGAGCTACAATTCATAAGACAAATTTTTAAAATTAAAATATACAATTATATAAAGAAGAAATATATGGTTATTTGGTTTGAATTTTGAATTTTGAATTATGAATCGAACTAAAATTTTATTTTTTAAATTTATGAATTTCAAATTGGATATTAGATTTAGTATTACATAGTTTTAAATATCCAAAAATTGAATATTTTATGACTTATATCAACCCTATCAATATCAAATGTATTCAATACTAAAAAGTTCAATTTTTAAAGATTTAATAGATTAATTTGGCTTAATCGGAAAACATAATCAAACGTATTTTTGTCTCTCCTGGATGAACCTTGATCACCAAGTATTCATCCACTATATTAACCAATAAACGACACGTCTCAGTCTCTACTAGAATTAGAACCTTGATTATCAAAATTTTCAATCACTTCATTGACTACTACGACAAACTTGAAATGTCTACACTTACTTGTGACAAAAGAGTCAAACAATGTAGTACTAGTAAATGTTTCTCAAACTTTTGGTAGATAGTCTAGAAACCAAAATTACAAATGGAACATTTCTACAATCTTTTGAGTAAAGAAAAATCTATTTCTTTGTTACACCAACCCTCATAAGAGCAACATAAGCCAAGAACCTATAACCAAAAAACATAACAGCCAATGCAACCATTGAAATGCCTTTACCTCCAAGCCCTATAGTCTTTATGGTAGGAAAATCTTCAACCAGACACGTCGCGTTTATGCCACATGAATACGTTTCCCCATGACTATACTGTGACCCCAACAAGAGCTTATACGTGTACTGGCTAATCGATATGTACTTTATCCAGGAAATGAACCACGGGACATGCTGAACGAAGTATCCTCCTGCTAAGGTGAACGATAGAATGATGACTGAACCGAGTACAGTAGCTGATTCTTGGTCCATGATCATTGCACCAAGAGCTAGTCCGAGGCCTTGGGAGACTAATACATTGTAGAGGATGCTGAATAAGGTAGAGAAAAAGTTCAATGCGGATGGCTTTAGGCCAGTCATCCAGTATGTTATAACGGTGAAAATAGTTGGAAGGACTAGCTCCATTGGAAGGTCACCTATAGTCCTAGCCATAAAGTACGCGGAGAGTCGATACATGCCTGATGATCTTTCTTTCTCCAACATCATCCTCTCTTGTGGGAAGGTAAAAATAGCTTGTAACAAAGGAAAAAATGACCAGAAATCAGTGTAGAAGAACATAAGTCCAACCTGCACCAAGTTAACAATTACATCGTATACTATCAGATCATCTAATCAAAGATAACTACATGTCTAACGAGGAGAAGTATCGATTACCTGATCTTGAATGTTGTTAGATTTCCACCATAACAATCCACACAACAAAGCCACCACCAAGACCTCTCCAACCTTGAGGCTAGAGAAGGACTCGTGTTTACGTTCTTTCATCCCTCTTCTAAATAACACTGAGAATTGCTGCCACCAGGTATTCGACCATTGAGTAAATTTCTTCTCATGTAGTTTCTCCGCAACCTGATGAACGTTAGATTCTTGCAATTGCTCCTTCATGTTCTCCACTAGATTGGTTTTGAAAGCAGTTACCAAAGTTTTCTTGATTGAAGCTGGATCATCTATAGGAGTATCTACTAATACGCGAGGATCATCCGATAGTATACCTAACATATCAAATAACACCAGTTTATCAGTCATCATACTGTTTGCTTAAAAGACAATGTACATCATGACCGTCTCAGCACAACGAGATGAGGTACTGTTAGTGGCAGAGATGCCTTGCTGTCGTGATCCATAATATTCAGCCCTTTGTGACTCTGATTCGTAAAAGAAAAGCAAAAGTCTTCATACATGAAATTACTATATATATATATATATATAAATGCAGATGAAACATACCATTTGAAAGATCCAACAAGAAGTCTGAGGGATTCATAGCAACTAACGGGGAAAATCCGATGCCTGAAAAATATCCCATAGCATCTTCTCCTCTGCCAAAATACAGGGGATTTCCTTCGGATAACAACAACACTTTCTTGAACATGTAAAACAGCCTACTCGAAGGTTGATGTATCGTTAGCACAACCGTCCTTCCACCCTTTGCTAAATCCCTTAAAGTCGACACAATCCTTAACGCTGTAGTAGAATCAAGCCCTGATGTTGGTTCATCCAAGAACAACAAACTCGGGTTAATAAGCATTTCTTGTCCAATACTTACTCTTTTCCTCTCCCCACCCGATATCCCTCTCAAAAACAGACCTCCAACAATGATATCCTTGCACTTTGTCAATCCAAGTTGAGTTATAATTGCTTCAGCATGCGCGGTTTTCTCCTCAACTGTAAATGTTTTAGGCAAACGAAGGAGAGCAGTGAACACAAGTGTTTCGGACACTGTAAGGTGAGGGTAAAGAACATCATCTTGAGTAACAAAGCCCGTGCTACGATTCATGGCATTGGAAAATGTCTTGTTATTATATGTTATAACGCCTTTGAGATGTCCATTAACGAGCCTGCCTCCGAGTCCTGTTAGCAGAGTTGTTTTTCCACTTCCTGAAGGGCCTAATATCGCCAGCATTTCACCTGGAGAAACGATCCCGGAGACACCCTTCAAGATTATTTTCTCTTCATTTGATTTAGGTGAATTCTTGAAACACCCTTCTTTCGCGAGATTGATCTTGTAAACAACATTCTCAAACTGCAATATTACTCAAGCCATTACATTTTTAGCAATATCATAAAAGAGAGAAACTATTTATTAACTTCTGGCATGCTCAATTCATGTATATATATAACATCTTTGTGGATAAGGGGCGGAGCTAATAAGGACTCAGGGATAAGGGGCGGAGCTAGTAAGGACTCAGGGATAAGGGGCGGAGCTAGTAAGGACCCAGGGATAAGGGGCGGAGCTAGTAAGGACTTAGGGATAAGGGGTGGAGCTAGTAAGGACACAGGGATAAGGGGCTGAGCTAGTAAGGACTCCGGGATAAGGGGTGGAGGCAGTAAGGGCACAGGGATAAGGGGCGGAGCTAGTAAGGACTCCGGGATAAGGGGCGGAGCCAGTAAGGGCACAAGGATAAGGGGCGAAGCTAGTAAGGACTCAATGATAAGGGGTGGAGCTAGTAAAGACTAGGGGCGGAGCTAGTCACACCTCAAAAATTCATTTAATATGAATGAAGAGTAATAAGTATTTCTTAGGTCTCATCGAGCCTAACTTAGTTTTGTTAGAGAGCACTTTACCCGTAATATGAAACTTCCTGAGCAACACGAAGTGGTAAACAAAACAAAAAATCACATGAAATATTAAAGAATTACCTTAAGAGTGACAGGACGATTAATGTTGTTGAAAATAACTTCAATTTTAGAATGATCAGTGTGTTGATTTTGTTGTTGGGACAATATATTCTCCATCTTTAATTATTCCATGTTTAGAAACTCTTGGGGTTCTCTATTTAATAGAATTTAAAATCAAGACTTCTTTGATGACTTCTTTTTTCTCTCCTAAATTCTTGGAAATACATATGAACTGATTGATATATAGAGGCAATCGAAAGTAATTAAGACTAGTTTACGAAGAGAATCATAGTAGCTCAGTTGATTGATTATCTGATTTTCACTTTGTTTGTGCGCTTCCATTACCCCCTTCCCCATTTAAAAAAAACATTAAAAAAAAACAATTTATGAGGAAATGGAGAGTGATGAATTTATTGATTAGGTTGTCAAAATTTGGTCATTTCCAAAAGCATAATTATTTATAAAGATAATTTAGCAAAACAAACCTCTAATAAATATTTCCTTCGTCTCATTTTGTATCCTTTTTGCTCAAAAAAATCGTCACAAAATAATTATTACTTTAAAAATTCGAGAATAAAGTTCATGACAATTGTTTCCAACTACTCAAGTTAAACATTAAAGAAGTGTGCACAATATTTTAAAGGTTTTCACCCACTTTATAGACAAATAAGCCATACCTCAATCGTCAAGATTTTACCACTTCGTTCATTAGGCCACAATTGGGATGTCTGCATTTACTTTGGAGTAATTAAACAAAAGAGACAAACAATGTAGCTCGTCGCACTAGACTTGCCTAGTGCGGGTTACCTCTCCTGTGTTTGTAAGCTATTTCATATGAACAAGAGTTTTATCTTGTGCGCACCCAAAGAATAGCGGCTGCAGATTTCCGTCGTCATAAAAAAAAAGTCGAGAAACCAAATAGAGTTACATAAATTGCATGTTCTTTGTATAACACACTAAAACAAATAAAGGATTTAGCGACAATAATAAATATGAGTATTTATAGCCAGTAATCTATATAAATGTTACTAAAGACTTTAATAACTCTGAGTACAATAACATTAACTCAATTACCGCTTAGTGTTTTTGCGGCAATAAAAGTCACCACTAAAAGGAACTTGACTAGCATATCTCGGCAGAAAACAAACTAAAATTACAAATGGAAACACTTCCTACAAAATCTTTGAGTAAAGCAAAATCTATTTCTTTGTCACACCAATCCTCATAAGAGCAACATAAGCCAAGAACCTAAAACCAAAAAGCATAACAGCCAATGCAACAATTGAGATGCCTTCACCTCCAAGCCCTATAGTTTTTATGGAAGGAGAATCTTCAACTAGACACGTCGCGTTTAGGCCACATGAATACGTTTCCCCCGGACTATATTGAGACCCCAACAAGAGCTTGTACGCGTACTGAGTTATTGATACGTGCTTTATCCAGGCAATGAACCTCGGGACATGCTGAACATAGAACCCTCCAGCTAAGGTAAACGATATCAAGATGACTAAAGCGAGTACAGTAGCTGACTTTTCGTCCATGACCATTGCACCAATAGCAAGTCCAAGGCTTTGGGAGACTAATACATTGTAGAGGAGGCTGAATAAAGTAGAGATGAACCTCCCCGCGGATGGTTTTAGACCAGCCATCCAGTATGTTATAACAGTGGAAATAGTCGGAAGGACTAGCTCCATCGGAAGATCACCTACAGTCATAGCCATAAAGTACGCGGAGAGCCTATACATGCCAGATGATCTTTCTTTCTCCAACATCATCCTTTCTTGTGGAAAGGTAAAAATACCTTGGAACACAGAATAAAACTCCCAGAAACTTGTGTAGAAGAACAGAAGGCCTGTCTGCAACAGTTAACAAATGACATTACTTCAACTTTGATAAATGCACCAATCACATCGTAAAAAGAGTTTTTTACACTATCAGATCACCTAATTATAAGAAGACTACATGTAACGTGTAGTCATTAATAACAACCTAGTTATAACAGGTTAAATTACACTGGTTAGTAACAATTTTATAATAACAACACACACCGGTGTTATCCTAGAGGTGGGGTGGAGACGGTGAGTGTAAGCAGACCTTACCCGTACCTCGTGAGGTAGAGTATATATAACAATTTTATATCAGTTCAACGGCTTACTTCACGTAAAATTAACAGTTACCTGATCTTGAATGTTGTTAGATTTCCACCATAACAATCCACTGAAGAAAGACATCACCAAGACTTCTCCAACCTTGAGGGTAGATAAGGACTCGTGTTTTCGTTCTTTCATCCCTCTTCTCAGTAACACTGAGAATTGCTGCCACCATGTATTCGACCATTGACTGAATTTCTTTTCAGGTAATTTTTCAGTTGCCTGGTGATCAATAGATTCTTGCAACTGTTCAGTCAAGTTCTCCGCTAGATTGGTTTTGAAAGCAGATACCAAAGCTTGTTTGATTGATGCTGGATCTTCTCTAGGAGCATCAGATAATACACGAGGATCATCGGATAGTATACCTAAGAAATTAAAATCACACAAGTTTACTAGCTAGTCATCATACCGTTTGCCTAAATGAGAACGTATATTATGAGTTAGAACTTAGAAATATACAATCACGAAGATAATAAACCACACATGACGATGGGTATTGTAAATAGCAGAGTGGCTTTGCTGACATGATCCACGGAGATTCAACCCCTTGTCTATCCGATTCATGAAAGACCAAACAGGTCTAACTACATGAAATTACTATCTATAACAAAGAAGGATAGATAAACATACCACTTGATAGATCCAATAAGAAGTCCGATGGATTCATAGCAACTAACGGGGGAAATCCGATGCCTGAAAAATATCCCATTGCATCTTTACCTCTGCCAAAATACAGGGGATTTCCTTCGGATAACAGTAACACTTTGTCGAACATGTAAAATAGCCTACTAGAAGGCTGATGTATTGTCATTGCAACCGTTCTGCCACCGTTTGCTAAATCTTTTAACGTAGACACAATCCTTAAAGCAGTAGTAGAATCAAGCCCAGATGTTGGTTCATCCAAGAGCAATAAACTCGGATTGATAAGCATTTCTTGCCCAATACTTACTCTTTTCCTCTCCCCACCGGATATCCCTCTCAAAAGCGAATCTCCAATGATGCTATCCTTGCACTTTGTTAATCCAAGTTGAGGTATAATTGCATCACAATGCGCGGTTTTTTCCTCAACTGAATAAGTTTTAGGCAAACGGAGGAGGGCAGTGAACACAAGCGTTTCGTACACTGTAAGGTGAGGATAAAGAACATCATCTTGAGTAACAAAACCAATACTACGCTTCATGGAGCTAGAAAAGGGGTTATTATTGTACGTTATAACGCCATCTAGATGGCCCTTAACGAGCCTGCCTCCGAGTCCTGTTAGCAGAGTTGTTTTTCCACATCCTGAAGGGCCTAATATCGCCAGCATTTCACCCGGAGACACGATCCCCGAGACATCCTTCAAGATTATTTTCTCTTCCTCTGATTTTGATGAATTCTTCAGACACCCTTCTTTTTCAAGCTTAATCTTGTAAGCAACATTCTCAAACTGCAAAAACACCCAATGCATTATCTTTAGCAAATAACTTGAAGTGTTCAACTTCTACACATTCAATAATTTTTACACAATCTTATCATCTAAACTATGTACAATCATACAAAATTGAATCAGTTTGAATGATTCTGATACCATTTGTAACGGCCCATCCTGCTAATGATATTGTTCGATTTGGGCCTAGATCCGTACGGTTTTAAAATGTGTCACTAGTGTGTCAGGTCTGTTTACTTGTATACCAACATCTCTGTTGTGTTTTGCTGATGTGAAACTTCTTATCTTAAGTTGAGGTATCAGACTCTTGCTTAGTAGCTAGTTTATTATACAAATCAATTGTATATTTGTAGTCATGATATAATTATCGATCAAATATACAAATCAATTGTATTTTTCTCATCTCTCCTAGATCTCGCTCGCCTCTTTCTCTCTTCTAACATGTAGCTACAAATCCTTATTATAGAAACATTAGCTAAGAATCCTTATTACGAATTTTGATAAATAAAAGCCTAATTTGGATCGGCTCACTCTTGTCCATACGGTACATATGTAAGACCTCTTTAGGTCCTATTTCGGATACACAAGAGAATCAAATCACCAGTAGAGAGCGCAAATTTTGACACATAATTTTCAGCCCTAGAAGCCAACTTCAAATTGTGATTCCCGCTTCGTTCCTTATCTAATTGAGCTAATTTGCCACTAGCTTCCCCAAGCATTACTAGTAAGAGCCATGCATATTAAGTTATAATATATCATCTTGTCTACGAAAAAAACCTAATGTGGAACTTCTAGAGTAACACCAAGAAAAAAATAAAACAAAAAATGATATGAAATATTTAAAGAATTACCTTAAGAGTGATAGGACGATTAGTGTTGTCAAAGATAACTTCACTTTTAGAATGATCAATGTGTAGAGGACTCTCTATATTCTCCATCTCTTGTTCCATGTTTAGAATTATAAATAATAATACTGATATATTTCAAAATCAAGAAGCAATTATAGATGAATTTGATGAATTTCATTTTTCTATAATGAATTCTTGGGAATATATATGGACTAATGTATAGAGACAATAGAAATTAATTAATAGTTTTAAGAGGAGTAAGACTCTACAAACGTTACAAGGAAATAAAAATTAAAGAGTCATGGTCAAAGATTCATTGTATTTGAATTTTCAAATCCAAGTTATATATTCCTTTCGTTTCTTTTTAGTTGTCTTTTTTAGAGTCAGTTTGACTAATTTTTTCAAAGGTAAATTAAATTATATTAATTTGATATTTTAAAATAAAAAAATAGATATTCAAAAACTATTTAAAAAATAGTACTATAAGTTGTAATTTTATATTACAATATTATAAAAGTATGAATAATAATATTGATTGACCAAAATATTCTTCGAATGATTTATATGCCTTTTTAGTCTAATTCTATCATATTTTGGTTGGTAACTTGGAAAACTAAAAAATATCACATAATGAAAATAGTGCAACAAATATTACTTCCAAATGACACATATATATGTAAAGATTAAAAAAAAGAAAAAAAAAGTAGACAATGATGGACACATAAATTTATTCTAACAATTTCTAATGTGTTTGAATGTTAGAAATCCAGGACTCAAATTTGCCATTTTTTTAAGTGGCAAAGACTAAATTTACCATTTTTTTTAAAAATGGCAAAGACTAAAGGTAGTATTATGTGTTTGACTATCAATTTGAGAAATAATTTCTTGATACTAAAATAATACTCTCTCTGTTCACTTTTAATTGTCATGTTGTACATTCAAAAGTCAATTTGACTATTTTTTAAAGTTAAATTAGATTACATTAATTCAATATTTTAAATAAAAAAATTTAGATATTAAAAAACTATACGAAAAGTACTATAAATTCCAATTTTTTTTGCATATCAATATGATGAAAAAATATATCATAAAAATTAAAATGTTAGTCAAAGTTCTTATAATTTGACTCTAAAAAAAGAAAACATGACAATTAAAAGTGTACAGAGGTAGTAATTCGTATCTGACCAACATTCCAAAAATACTTTCAAGCAAAGCTATTTTTTCAACTTCTCAAAATTAAAGTAATTACTAACCCCAAAAAAAAAATCTTTTTCCGTAGAGCCATCACAATTCTCTAAATTAAATAATATTTAAATAATATGTATTTTAAATTTGTCAAAACCTTGACCAAAAAGACTATCATTTCCCATTCTTGGATTGTCATGAAAAAAATGGATCAATTAAATTAGATGCAATATATATATATATTTGTTAGTTTCAAGGTGTAAAATTTAGTATTGCCTCTATTGTCATGACCCATAGAAAGACATACTATTTCCGTCCACTTTTAATTGTCATAGTTTTTTTTTAAGAGTTAAACTATAAAATATTTGACTAACATTTTATGATATATTTTTTTAATCACATTGATATGCAAAAAATTTGCAATTTATAGTATTTTTCGTATAGTTTTTGAATAACTAGATTTTTTATTTAAAATATCAAATTAATATAATCTAATTTAACTTTTAAAATTAATCAAATTGACTTTCACAAAACGTAACATGACAAATATAAATGGACGAAGGGAGTAGGTAACAACTAACCATACACGATCTTTTTGACTCAACACAATATGACAACATTATATTCTGGACTCCTTTGATGCAAACTTAAAGATTTTCTTTTCCAATAAACATATCCTGACTTTTAACTTAAACAACATATTCTAACAAAAATTCTATCCAAACACACGCAATAAAATTGTAGACAGTCAAATAAATCCAATTAATGAAAACTTAGATATAATTATTGTATCAAAATCAAAGCACGATTGAATTATTATATCAAAAATAATTTAAAATTATTATTATCATAATATAAAAAATTTCGATCTTAAAATCATGGCACCATCGAATTATTATATCAAAATAGAAATTTTTGATATTGCGATTTTAGTTTACAAAATAGAAAATTGGAAAAGGTGAATGGTGGACCAAATAAATGCATTATTTTTATTCTATGAATCTTATTCTATTCTTTTCCTATGGTTATCGTCATAATAACAACGACACCAACCGTTAGACAAAAATAACTACGTGTTGGGTTTAACTTATAGTATAAGGAATTAATATGATCTCTTTTTTTCTTTTTCAGACCGACAAAATTATTCTTTATTTTAATTTGTTTATCTGATTTTAATTTGGTATGGAATTTAAGAAGATTAAGATTTTTCAATTTTGTGGTCTTAAATTAAAGATACATAGAATGTATCAGATGTCTTCTAATATTGTGGTTTTAAACATGTTATATGAAAAGTTAGAATCAAAGAACTATCAAAAAAATAAAGAAATATTTTTCTTTGAAACTAACTGGAAAAGAAAAGTAAGACCAATAAATTGAAATCGAGGAAGTATATACTATTAAGTATTAGTGAGTGGAATTTAAACTCGTTAGGTTTCATATCAACAGCTCAATTTAACCCCCACCAAAAAAAAATTTCTTCTTTTTTTGCTTTGTTAGGCCATTTTCCTTTGGAATTTTAGTTACCATATTCCTTTGCTTTTTTGTTCTTAAAGAGTATTTTGTTATTAAGAGCATTTATTAATTGGAGTACTTCAAGCAATCAAGGATTAAAAAAAAGCAGTTTGATGCACTAACACTTTTGTTATGTGCTGGGTTCAGAGAAGAGTCGGACCACGAGGATCTATTATAGTAGAGTTCTTTTACATTTCTGCAAGAGGTTGTTTCCGCGGATTAAGCTTCAAAATGTAATTGAAGTTAAATGGTTAGATTCAACTAATTCCTAATTATGGTCCTTAATTATGTCCATTTATGTAATTAGATTAGTGCTAATAAATACATAGTGAACACTTAGGGATAGTTTCATTAGCTAGCTTTTGGATAATTAAGGGTAGTATATATCCTTCAATGAGTGTTTAAGCTAATTTATGCAAAATATTCCTATTTATTTAGATATTGTTCCTTTTTTTTTTTTTTTAAATTGCAAATATAGCCTTTGTAAAAGTACTCTTCCAGACAACATTAAACTTATGTCTAATATTTGCTCGTATTAACGTTTGCAATTAGTATTTATAATATTTCAGATCATGATTTCACATTTTTTTCATAAGATTTTTCAATTTACTTAAAAAGAAAACATTTATACTGTAATCTAAATTGTTCATAAGTTGCACGAGAAATAAAAAGAGGGTCATCTAAATATGAAATATCTATCAATAACATATTAAATTTCAATAATATTAGGTAGTTAACATCTAAGTTGATCAGACTCTTCAAAATTGTTTCCTCATCTGTGTCAGATCCTCCAAAAATATACAATTTATGAAATATCTGACACGCACCTCGATAACATTTTTTAAGAATCCGAGCAACATAGGTTACCAGAATATGGAAGGTTAGAGTAGTAACATCAACTTTAGGTATATATATTGTGTGGTGAAAGTTGAGATGTCGTTACATTTTGTTGATGTGTCCTTTCACTTTTAATTTTTTCGAATAAATAATATACTTCTTCTTTATTGTTACTTACTCTTCTTCTTCATTACTCAAAAAAGACTTTTATTACATTGTATATAGACACACATTGAAACTGAAACAACATAGAAAAATAAAAAATTGTGTGTGAAAAAAGTGTTTCAATTTCATTAACAATGGCTTCGAAATTGTTAATGATCAGTGTCTTCGTTTTCGATGTAATTGCTTTTGCTTTGGCTATTGCTGCTGAACAGAGACGGAGCACTGTATGTATCTATTAATTTTTTTGCTATGTTATGTTCATTTTTATATCATCCATATTTTTGTCTGTTTTAGATCAGAGGCAGAGTCAGAATTTGAAATTTATCAGTTCGATAGAACCTGTAACTTGATCTCTGGCTCCGCTCCTTGTTTTGATCCATTAAGATCAGATATCATAAAATTACTTGTGGTTTTTTGTCTTTGATCTGTTCAATTCTTGAAAAATTGATCTTTATATGTCGTGATGTAGAATCAGAATTTGAAATTTATGAGTTTGGAACTAGTGATTAAAAATTCATAGCTTATTTTAGTTACTGAATTCACAATTACATATTTGATAAAAAATTTAATATATGATCAAACCAAAATTTTATTAACTTGGTCTAGAGGTGGGCATAAATACCAAAAAATCGAACCGAATCGAACTATTTTGGTTCTTCGGTATTTTGGTTCGGTGTCGATTCTTTTTTTTCGGAACTTTGGAGTTCGGTGTAAAGGTCCTGAAACTACGATGCACCGAAGAACCGAAGTTTTATTAAATAAATTTAAAAATATTTTAAATTATATTATTTAATAATACTTATATATTTTGACTCAAAATATTTACCTGACCCATTTCAATTTTTAACTTTACCTGGACCATTTCAATTTTTAAATTTTGGAGCCTAAACAAAACAGTAAAGGGAATACTTTATCATTTACACTTCAAAACAGTATAGGGCACCCAGCCTAAACAAAACTATTTTGATGTTATTACTTTTTATTGTTAGACTGTTAGTTGTTACTTTGAAGTTTGAAGTGTGAAGTGAACAACAATTGTTACTTTATCATATTCCCTCTTTATTTTTATTCACACCGAAAAATCAATTTAAAAACATTGAACTAATCCGAATCGAAGTAGAAAAAACCGAACCGAATCGAACTAGTTTGGTTTGAAATATGGTGCACACTTTTCTAAAACCGAATACCACAGAACCGAACCGAAATTTGATTAAACCGAACCGAAGAACCGAACGCCCACTCCTAACTTGGTCCAAGACGTAGACAGTACTATAGCTCCGTCCCTGTTTATAACTACAAAAATATCTATTACATTATGCCTATTCTTAGCATTTATTTGAATAAACCAGCCTCAATCATATTGTTATTTCGAAAGTTATATTTCACACACTTTTCGTTTTTTA